GCGTCGATTTTTGTGAGGCTCGTCAGGGGGGCGAAGCCTATGGAAAAACGCCAGCAACGCGGCCTTTTTACGGTTCATGGCCTTTTGCTGGCCTTTTGCTCACATGTTCTTTCCGGCGTTATCCCCTGATTCTGTGGATAACCGTATTACCGCCTTTGAGTGAGCTGAAACCGCTCGCCGCAGCCGAACGACCGAGCGCAGCGAGTCAGTGAGCGAGGAAGCGGAAGAGCGCNCAATACCCACAAGCCTTAACTAATACATAGCAGTGATTGGAGGAAACGCATTTTTCCGAAACACGGAAAACGGAAACGGAAAGGAAATTTTTTCCGCGGAAACGGAAACGGAAAAAAAAAACTTTAAAAATTGGGCGGAAAACGGAAAACTAAAGCGGAAACGGAAATTTCTATATTTCGTATATATTTTCAGGATTTTTTTCCCTTCAAACAAAAATATTTAGACTTTTCAACGTTGAAAGACCATATTTGCATCACTTTGCATGCTTTTTTCAAGCCAGTTTGATGTTTTCGTTGTTTTTTACATTTTTTTTCCGTTTCCGCTGTAAAAAATGGAGATTTTTACGGAAAATGGAAACGGAATCGTAAATATGTTTTCCGCGGAAACGGAAACGGAAAAAAATCTCTAAAAACCGGGCGGAAAACGGAAAACGGAAACGGAAATTCCTCCCATCACTGATACATAGAATAATGTGCTCAGAGACTTGTGCAAGTATTGGCGGCGGGAGTCGAGTTGTTAAATAATTTAACTTTTTGCCGTTTTTATTGGAAAGTTTTTGATTGTTTAAGAGACCCTGTCCGTCGCAAGTATGAAATAAGTTTCCAAAGCAAATAACTCAATCATTGACTGATAATCCGATTTATAACATTTATAATGCTTGAAAGTGCATTAATTGATTGTAAAGTTACTCTTTTTGCAAATGACGTAATCGCTTTATTGGAAAGACGGAGTACTGTGGAAAGGAACTTCAAATAGGTTCTATTCCTCATTGCGAAATCTAATGTTGTCTCAAAGATACTTACTAATAAATCTGCGTCAGGCTGTAAGAAAATCCAAAGTTTTGCAGAAATTCCGCAAATAAAAATGAGCCCAAATGAATTTATCAAGTTGATTTTGGCCAAATAATCGGATAATACATAATTGTAGCTCCATATAACAATCCCAACAAAAATCGATGCAACTAGAAAATAGATGTTCAGACGAAGAAAATAATCTTGCCCAAGGTAAATTGGAGTTAGGATATATGCAACAATAGATGCAATTATGGTAATTGCTAAATTAGCTAATTGAACGTAATTTGTGAGGAACGGAGGGATGATCATTTTAGAGACGTTATTTGTGAGGGAAGGAGAGGTACTTATTATTCAGTTAATTGAAATGAGAATAAAAAATTATGATAAGGATGAGGAATACAATCAAAAGTTAAAAAGTAGAGGATTAGAAAAATGGAGACGCAGTGATGAAGAACTTTCGCATTGTTTGTTAATGAATTATCGTTTTTTACATGATAAGGAGAATTGTGACGTCATATCCGGAAAGACTCATAGGAAGTTGCCTAGTCAGAAACACTGAAAAAAGTAACAAAGAGAGAACAAACTTTGCTCTGTGTAAACTTGAGAATATGAAGATGTCAAGAGAAGAATTTAAAATTCTGAAGATGTTTGTGAAATTGTGTAAAAATGTAAAACTTCCATACTTGTTCAGATTTTTTAGGATTTTAATATTTTGGAGATTCTCGGAACTTGCGGATTTTTCAGAATGTTTGGGGCTTTCAGGACTTTGAGATTTTGCAATACTGTTCAAATATCTCTTGGCTTTCAGATCTTTCACATTTTTTTGCTTTCTAGATAAAACAACTTCCAAAGTTCTTACACAAAAATTGTTTTTCGTATTTTTGCGTTTCTGTTTGTCCAGATGTCTTTCGAAAACACATACTCCAATTATTTATTTCATAACATTCCTTCTTCTTCATCTCTTCGATTTTTGGTCCCACTACGTGCGCTCCGCGAGCCACATCTACGTCACTAGAAGCTATTTTCTGCTCTCTCTTTTTCTCTAAATCTCTCAAGGGACACTTCTCTCGTTCTTCTTTTTTTGTTCCTTAAAGCTCAGAAACAGAAGCAGTTGTCTTCAAATGGTTCATAAAGTAGTATTCATTGTTTCCATATTTCTCAATGTTATACTTTCTATTTTTCTAATTTATAATAATTTTGATAAAATAAGAGTTTATACACATGCCAGAGAAGTTACCAAACTCACCTTATTTTCTGCCTGGATATTCTACACATTTTGCGCAATTTTTAAAGGCGCATTCACTGCAGTTGACCGGCAAAATGTAGTACCAAAGTTGGAGAAGGTCAGGAGAGATATCATCACTGGATATGGATTAATTACAATGCTGGCAATTGTTCCAAGTTTCTTAGTAGTTTTGGTCCGGGATTCGCCCTTGGTAAGTTTTCAATGTTCATAAAAATTTTTGGAAACTATATTCCAGATAATCTACCCATTTGTCTTCATTTCCAACTTCTCTTCGATTTTCATATTTCTATTCTTCATTGTCGCTCATTTCGACAACTACAGCATCCTTCATAAACCATTAAAATTCAAAGCCATAATTACCCTCGTCCAATTAGCACTCTCGCTAATTGCCTCTCTTTTGACTTGGACATTTTCAACCACTGAAAATGCGAGTACCGTGTTCTACATCACCATCTGGTACACTGTATTCTTTTCTGCTGGAATTGCTGAATTTTTCGCTATTTTACGATTTGGAGTCAAAATAAAATACGGCGAAGAAGACCGTGTTGGAGTCTATGAACAAAGAGAGATTGGAGGAAAAATTGATTATAGGTTAGACAAATTTTTGTCGGTTTGCCCAGATGTTCCAAATTTTAGACCTCCCGGCACAACAACTAGCTCAGCACGACGGACAACCATGGCTAGTATGGTCAGGGCTCAGAATCCGGAGAGTGCAATGGAAGTGAGCATATTCAACGAAATTGAGGACGTTCCTCAAAACCATACTAGGTTGGTTGAAAATCAATTTTTTAAAAACAACTGGAAAAAGAGAAATTTCAGTTATATAAAAATCAGTCAATGCAAAATCTGCACTCAAGAATATAACGGTACATTAATCCCAAGAATTCTTATCACGTGTGGACATACAGTATGCGAGGTATGCATCAACAATCTTCTAGACGAAAACCATTCGGTTGTTTGTCCATTCTGCCGAAAATCTACAAGTGTTCCAGGTATGTGAACAGAAGATTTTAGAAATTTTTTAATGTAAAAGTTTTCAGATGGCCAACCTGATCTGCTCCCTAAAAATTTTGCAATACTGGAGATGGATTAATTTTTTTTGATAAATTGATTGCTAAAATAAAGTTTTTGCTTCCCTAAAATTTCACTGACTCACTCTCACACGGTTTGAAATAGTGATGTGCGTAATACTTTTGGGATTATCAGCTGATATTGTCAACCAAATCAGTTTATATCACACAAAAAACGCAATCCCAATGATTCAGCATCAATTTATTAGAATCCTAAACAACCTGAAACCGTTATAACTCTGAAAAATTTGAAGCCAAAATTTTTTTTATCACACGTTGCCTCAATTTTTTATGTCAATTCCTCTTCTGTAAACCATTTTTTGTTTATCCAAATACCCTATTTTCAACTTCTAGACATACATTTTGAAATTCCCGGTCCCTTTTTTCCCAAATCGTGACTAGACCCGTTTTGATCTACTCTGGCGCCAAAAATTCCACTATCGATTTTTCCCGTATTTTAATTTTTTTTTTCCTCTTTTTTTTAAACTTTCAGAGAATAAAATGCTAAAAGGGGGAGATTTTGCAATCGGTTAAATTTGTTCCGAAATCTCTTCCATCGCTTTTCATATTTTTCAAATTGCTTCTTTAATTGTTTCAAATAAATTTCAGATCACAAGCTGCGCCCAACCGTCCGTCTTCATTGGAAATCCCAAAATCTCCAACGATGTCCCCGAAGATCACATGGAGTGAGTCAAAAAAAAAATCGTATTTGCTGTAATAAAAACTACCTTATTCACTTTGAGATTTATTATCTTGGTTCCTCTAAGAGATATTAAAGAATTGTCAACTAATGAAATGTTGAAGATACTATGAGAAAAATTTGATTAAATGGCACAGTTTTGATATCTCTCGTAGGAACTGAGATAATTGAGCTCAAAGTGCACGTATAGGGGCTTCTATTAGAGCAAATACGGTAATAGAACATTTCGGGCCAGGCCGAAAAAGGTCGGTAAAAATGTGTCCAAAATGTATTTGTTGGAATTCTCAAGAACTGTATATTTTTGAAGATGCCTGAATGATGTTAAAAGGTGGGGGAGTTGATTCTGCAGTAGAGTGTAAAAATTGGACCTTTCTCATATTTCAGTTCAAAAAAAAATACCGTAAAACCTGTATTAGAAGCCCCCCCCCCCCATACACTGCTAAGTTTGGGCTCAATTATCTCGGCTCCCGTGAAAGATATCAAAAATGTGCTAACTGATAAATTGTTTATGATATTATAACAAATAAGTTAGCAGTTGACAACTTTTTTATATTTTTGACAAGAGTTAACAATAATTGACTCAAAGTTAAAAGTTGGGTCCCTTCTATTACAGGCTTACGGTAGGCAATTTTCGAGGTTATTGATATTTTGAAATGGTTCGATCATTTAGAACTTTCAAAATTAAAAAGATTAAAAATATTTGATGTTTTCAGCAGTTTTCAAAGCGATTCGAATTCACAACTAATTTTTTTGACTTCTTGAAATTGCCTTTTTTTGACTGAAAATGTGAATTTATGGTTTTTTTTGAGGACTCATTTGAACGTTTTTTTTTCAATTTCAAAATTCTTATGGTAGATCAAATATTTTTTTAATTGGTCTCTAGGAAAGGGGTAAAAATTTCCTTTGGGAAAAATCCCTCCTGGGAAACGGGATGACATACAAAGAAGAAGACAAGCACCCCTCCATTTATTGATTATTAGATAGATACCCAATTCTCTATGTTTTTACTTTTTGAACACATTTTTCAGATTCGTGAAATTTGATCTACTCTAGGCGCCAAGTAGCCCATTATCGATCTTTTAAGATTAAAACCTTTTTTTCCTTTTTCTCTTTTTTTTCCAGAGGACCTTCTTGACATCATTTGAAAATAGACGGACTGTTTTTAAATTTAAAATTTTTTCAGAGAAATATGAGTCTAGTATTGGTTTAACATATTTGAAAATCATTAAAAAACGGATCGAATATTTTCAAATAGACACATTTTTAGAATTAAAAAGAACAAATTTTTTAGGCAAAAAGTCTCTTTTTTTTGTGCTTCTTCCAATGAATTTCAATTTTTAGATTTTTGTGGATTTATGAAAAAATTTTACCTCTGAAATCCCCACGTCTTCCGCACTCTTTTCCCCTTTCTCCATTTATCCCATTCTCAGTAGCCGTCGTTTCCTATAGCTCAATTCCGTCTCCCTGAATTCCAAACCATCAACCATGTTCCCTGTCAACTCCTTCACTTTTAGTGCATATTCTCGGCTATTTTTGGTCCTTCTTCTCCGATCTTGAACAGCTTTCTTCTTGCTTGTCTTTCCTTCTTGTTCAGTCTCCTCATTTTCTTCTTTGGCTCTCCCTTCTCGTTCTTGTCGCTCATTATATTTTTTGCGTTCAAAATTACCTGAAATTAATTCTCTTTCTCGCCAGTTTTTACGGAAAAAAAAGCGGAAATCAACGGAAAAAAAGTTGTTTTTTGAATTTTCTTTTTCTGAAATTTGACCTATTTTCTGTTGGGCAATTTTTTTTCAAAACTTTTTTTTCAAATTTTTGATCTACTAGGGCGCCAAGGATTCACTATTGATTTTGCTTCCTCTTTCTTCTTTTTTTTCTCTTTTTTTTTGTACTTTTTTTTTTATTTTCAAAAGATGAAATAGTAAAAAGAAAAAGTTGAAAATCACAAAAAAAAGATTATAAAAATTTTTTTTCCGGAAGACCTTCTTGACATCATTTGAAAATAGACGGACTGTTTTTAAAATTAAAATTTTTCTCAGAGAAATATGAGTCTAGTATTGGTTTAACATATTTGAAAATCATTAAAAAACGGATCGAATATTTTCAAATAGACACATTTTTAGAATTAAAAAGAACGAATTTTTAGGCAAAAAATCACTTTTTTTTGTGCTTCTTCCAATGAATTTCAATTTTTAGATTTTTGTGGATTTATGAAACTTAAAATTCAAAAAAGATATGACTTTTCAGGTCCAATCCAATCGTCGTCTATCGGCAGCCCAAGCACATTCGTCAACATCGCAAACCCATCCAGTTGATTACCTGCCGCAAAGCCAAATAGAAGGTCCAGGGAGCAAAAAAGGAGAAACGGTAGATAATAGTGCTGAAAATAAGTTAATAACTAAAATTTTCAGCTCAGAAGCTACCGACCTCGTCATACCCTTCTTGGCGCGACCCAGCAGACACCAAGGGGCCATTCAATCCCATCACCAAGCACTTGGACCGACGCTGCTCCGTCGATGAGCCACCAGCTCTGCAGGCACAAAACGTGAAAGGTGAGTTTGTTCTGCAGTACCCAATGAAAACGATTTTCATTTTTTCAAACTTCCAATAACTAGTCTAAAACCTGTAATAGAAGGGCGCTCTTATTGTGAACTTTGAGCCATTTTTCTCGGTTCTTGTCGGACATATGAAGAAGTTGTTAACTAATAAAATGTTCATCATAACATCACAGACATTTTATCAGTTAACCACTTTTAGATAGCTTGTACCGAAATCGAGATAATTGAGCTCAAAGTTGACAGTGAAGGCCCCATTCCACCACTCCATTCATTTATTATAAGAATGATGATAAAAACTAATAGTGAAAAGCTAAATTAATACCATCGACTTCATATTTGCTTTGTTTCCAGGAGATGGATCGAACACTGGGACGTGGAAGTAACTGGAGAAAGCTCGAGGAGTTCAAAGGACCTCAAGAAGAAGAAGAAGAAGGACATCTGGATGTGGATGGAGAGAAGAGAATAGTTTGTTAACTGATCTTAATATGATATATGTTTTCTTTCTTCTTTTCACTGTTCTCTTAGACTGATATCCTTATCTCTCTTTTTGGTCCTAGAAACTTATCACTGTTGTCCGTCCGATGTTCGTCCGATGACTGACTAGGAAGCTATCTCTGAATTATGAAACGTTGTAGATGGGACTTCGGTCCTGTCTATGTCTGACCACTGTTTCAGAGCAGCTGAGAAAGTTATCATTCTCTGTTTTTAACCTTAGAATATTATCAATATCTCTTTTTTGTCCGTCCGATGACTGACTAGGAAGCTAACTCTGAATTACGAAACGTTGTAGATGGGACTTCGGTCCTGTCTATGTCTGACCACTGTTTCAGAGCAGCTGAGAAAGTTATCATTCTCTGTTTTTAGTCTTAGGAACTTATAGCTATTTCCCCCCTCTCTCTCCATCCACATTAGTCTTCTGAAGCAACGGTCAAAGCAGCAATCGAAGATGGAACGGATAACAACCGTTACTTTGCGGAACCTTTGAGGTTTGACTTTCTTCTTCCAATAATAGTTTTTAGAGTGACCAACTAATGATATTTTATCAGATGAGCAAAAATGAAAATTTTTCAGAAAATCGAGAGCTAATAATAAGTGGAAAAGATGGGATTCCCAAAAGGAGTTCAAGAGGCGCGATTCCAGTCATTTTGGCGATTATTCGTCGTCCGTCTTTATTGGTTATTTTGTGATCACCAAGATCGCTTGGGGTTAGTTTTTTGAATACCATACTTGGTCTAATAGAAGCTCACCCTATGTGTGCACTTTGAGCTCAAATATCTCGGCTCCTATGAAAAATATCGAAAAAGTTTCAACTGCTAAATTGTTTATCATGATATCACCCATATTATATCAGTCGGTCAATTTCTGATATCTCTCATAGGAACCGAGAAGATTGAGCTCAAAGTTGACGGTTTGGGTGGGTTTCAATTAGAGAAAATTTCATTAAAAATAGGCATTTTTCGAGGTATTTGACATTAAGAGAGGATTCAATCGTTTCGAAATTTCAAAAAAAGGGCAAGAGTAGTGATCTGTTCTTCATTGATACTTTCTGTAGTTTTCACAACGATTCGAATTCCTACCTACTTTTTTGATTTTTTGAAATTACCTAGATTTTACCGTACTGAAAATGTGAAACTGTGATTTTTTTCGCTATTCTGTTTTAACAACTTTCTTTTCCAGCCCAAAAGCTATTGGCTCCACGTCATCCCCTGCCGGCGCTACTCAGCAAAGACCAAAGGACCATTCTCTTCTATCTGCAACTACTTGGATCGCCGCTGCTCCGTGGATGAGCCACCAGTTCTGCAGTTCTGCAGGCTCCAGACTCAAAGTGGGTTGGTTCTGATTTTGTAATTCTAAAATTTTAATATAATGAAGTTTTGAAATGTTGAAATTCCGAGATCCTAAAATCCAATAATTCTGAAATTCTGAAGTCCTGAAATTCAAACATTCTAAAACCCTAAAACTCGAAAATTTTAAAGTTTCGAATTTCTGAAAATCCAAATTTCTGTATTTCTAAAATTCCAATTTGTTTAATTCGGAAATGCTAAAACTTTAAGGTTCTAACATTCTGAAATTTTAGCGATTCTGAGATTCTGTAATTTTGAAATTGGGAAATGCCGAAAAAAATTTTAAACAATTTTTTTTCAAAAAAGTTTAGTAATTAAAAAATAAGCTGTGTTAAGATTCAGATACCTGAATTTTCTTAAAATTCCTAAATTACTGATTTCCAACGTAGATTGGAACGTTTCGATGGAGTTCAATGTGAGGAGAAAAGAAATGTAATTTCAAAAGTTTTGAATTGATTTATTTTTCCGAATCGAGAGCTCTTTTTTTCTGAAACTATCGTAATTTCAGAACGCCCCCCTTCAGCAGCTTCATCATCGACGTATTCACGAATTCGAAAAAATTTGGGACTGAAAGCATTCAGCAGGATTTTCCGGATGTGGACTTCGCCAGGAAAATTATTAGGACTTTGATTGATTTTTGTGATTTCTTTCTGTTTTTTTTCTTTTCTTTCTTTCAGACGTTTTGGGTTTTAGTGGTTGGGTTTTGGGTAATTGGTGTCGGATGATTAGCAATTTTCTCGTAAAAGCAGAAAATTGGACTAATTTGAAGAAAAATGGACTTAAAAGTATGACATTGGACTAAATAGTGAAAAATTAGACTAATCTAAAAACATTAACCAACAAAAATATAATGGTCAAAAATAATGGTAAACATGCGAAAGGTGTGATATAAAGGTGTAAAAAGAGATGATAAAAACTATGAAAACTCAAAAAACAATTTAACTTCAATGCTCTGCCAGAGTAATCAAAATTAAATATCTGAAAAATATCTAAAAATTGGACTAAAATCTGTACATCGGAATACAATCTGTAAATTGGACTTCGAAATTGGACTAAACCTTGGACTTAAAAACTGGACTTAAAAATAATGTTCAAAAATATAATGGTAATAAAAGTGTGTAAGGTGAAAAATAAAAGGTGAAGAGTGTCATGAAAAATAAACTTTGAAATTTATTAAACAATTTGAACTGGATATAAGAAGGAGCGATTTTCAAAATTTTCAATTTTCATCCCAAATCACTTCGATTTCCAAAATTTCTGGGAATTTGGAAATTTTACGTGATTCACAGAAATTGAACGTTGCAATTTCTGGGATTTTTCACAGAACTCGAACGGTTCGAGTTCTGTGAAAAATCCCAGAAATTGCAACGTTCAATTTCTGTGAATCACGTAAAATTTCCAAATGCCCAGGATTCGAAGCCTTCAATTTCTGTGCAACACGTAACTTTTCGCAAAATTGAAAATCAACAGAAATAATGTAATTAAAACCATATTTTTCATGATTGCGTTGAAATAAAGTATTTCTGGACAAAAACACATCGATTATGACATTTATCAGTAGTTTAGTATTTTCTGTGACGAATTACAGAAATTTGGACCATTTTTGTTTATTCCTTCGAGAATTAAAAATTTTGAAAATCGCTACTTCTTATAT